CATATGGGGTTGCAGCAGTGGGAGAGCAGGAAAAGGCAGGGAAGGAAGGCTGAGGGGGGAGAGAAGGGCAATGCGAGTTTTTGGAGAGAGGAGGGAGCTGGGGGGAGATGAGGGAGAAGCAGGGAGGGAGCTGAACAGAGTGGAGGAGCTTGTACAACAGCAGAGTACCAAGGACCAGCAGAACCATTAGCCTCCCCCACCACAAACAGCTTGGCTGAACTATGTTAGTTTTACCAGGAATGTCTGATAACAAGTTATTGAGAAGAGGCTTTTACATCCTTGTCCTGGGAAACACCAAGAGATGCAATGTGGCAGAGCAGAGGAATAGGTTGATCTACCAGGTGACTTCAGGAAACCTGAAAGCCATTGAGTGTTTAACAAAGACCAGTGATACCAGACAGGAACAAAGCAGTAGGAAAAAGCAGAATTCAATTCTATTTCTATTGCAAAACAATGCATTTACAACTCCATTTAAGAGGAAATAAATAAAACCAAATTAAAATCACTACCTTTGGCTTGAAGGTTGTGGTTTCTTTACTCCCATTTTTTCCACTTTTGCTTCATATATTCTATTTATAACATCATTCCCTAATTCACACATAAGCTACAAGGCAAACAAACAAAATTAAAAGTACATGTGTAAGAGAGACATCATGCCCAGATGGACAGCTAATACTTCAGCATGGTCTTTATATATCTCACAGGATCTTTCAGTGGTATGAACTTATTAACAAAACTCCCACCACATGTAGCAGGGGTACTGTACCTTGAGCTTCGTTCCATCAATTTCATCTCCTGTATCCCCAGCACATTTTGTTCTGTGCAAAACCACGGACAGCAAGAGGGCTGCACAGACACCCCTACAAAAAGCACGCAGCCTGCAGAACTTGCAATGCTACTGATGGCATGGCTGGAAGGGAAAACTTAGCTCGACTCGCAGATCATACTTGATATGAAGATCACCAAGATGGAAACATGAAATCTGTACCCCCATCTGCAAGCCCACTTTTATGGGGCTTATTCTGAATGCCCAATATTTTTTAAACCACCCCAGGCAGAAGCAAAGGCTTCACACAACCGGCCCAACTGTGCAAATCTATAATAGCATTTGCTTATATTCACATCATGCCATGAGCTAAAGATTTTATAAAATCACATTTCTGATTAATGCCTTCATACAAATGCTGAAGCAACTACAGTAAATGCTGCCTTGAGAAACAGTGAAATTACAAATTAATATCCTGTACTACTGGAGGTATTAGGAATTCCCCTTTTTTAAAACTTACTGTGCTTTACAGTTGGTAATTCTAAAACTTCATTAGCTTTCATGTGGTTAAGTAAAAACATGATGTGAACAGAAGATTAAGATGTTAATCATGTTATGCTTTCTGGGGCTAAACAGACTTTGTGGTCCAATAAACTACCAAGCGCTAGTTCTATGGCAGCAAACAGTAAAACAGCTATTTCACTCTGCTGGAAACCATCACCACCACTTAAAGCTACTCTCAAAGGATTACCATACCTTTAGAAGCTCTGGCTCCCATGTATCCAGTGTTAACGATCTAACTTTCGAAAAGTGGACTCCTAGACTCCTAGACAGAAAAAGTAACCATATCTGAATACTTTATTATACACACTATTATACTGTAGGCAGGCTAACTATTTCCTGCTGATCAAGCTCTGTCTACTTGTAGGATTTCTTACCTTTCCTCTGTGCAAATGCAGCAGGCAGAAGCACAGCTCAGGGCACTGCAAAAAGTGACCTGTGTTTACCTACCTGTGTATCCCTGAACACTCAATGCACAGCGTGATTCCTAGGTTGATGCTGGCCCAGCGTGGGTCAGCCAGGCCGCAGTCGCAGCAGGAGGCATTGCCAGCAATACACTGTACCCGCTGCAGAGCACTCTCTCCTTTTAACAGCTTCTCCTTAGACTCACTGCCAGGCTCTAGGCTCCCAGCAGAAGGGAAACATTTCTTCTCCTGTTTCTGGAAAAAAGACAAAAAATGAATGATTTCAGAGTGTCAGAGTGGTTGACCTTGCTGTGGCCCTAGGGGAAACTCCCAGAAGTACGAAGGGAAGCTTTACTACTACACACATTGCCCTGTGAAAGCCAAGTATTGGCAAAAAGTGCTTTAGTTTTCAGGAGAGATCTGGGGTCAGGACACAGCAATAACCAGTTATGCTGGACACTTCAATCACAGCTACAAAAAAAAAAAAAAAAAAAAATTAAAAA